TATACCCTTCCAGGCTCTGAAGAAGGCGATACTGCCGAAACGTCAGCTAGCGTTGTATTGTGTTGTGTTTTTATGGAAGTAAATGTATGCTGTTTAAAAACCTCGCGATTGCTGAACAAGAAAACGACACACTCACTGTTCTCTTTATAAGCACTACGATTCCAAACTTTCATGTCATTATTTAGAGATGCAAAAACTTTAATTCCATAAACACCGTTTAAACCGGAAGTTCCTTCATTATTGCTTAATTGAAAAAAAAAGAAAAATAAAGCAGTGGAGATATTGAGCTGAGCTAGAGTAGGGTATGATTGCGATGGAACACTGATAACATCGAGAAAGAAAACTGTCTTGTTTCGTTTCAGGGATCGTCGACGGCTCCACCACCGAAACAAGTCGACTTCTCATCGCAGACGATTCCGGAGCTGATCTACACCCGGGCAGACAGCGATCGCGTTGCCGTGGTGTTCGACGCCGAGAGGGTGTCGTTCACGTTCGCCAAGGTGGCCAGTGAGGTAGTGCGTTGAGGGATCTAACGCTAGGAACTTCCACTTACTATCGAAGCGAAGTGCTGTCATTCAGATGGAGACGTTGGCGGCCGGTTTTCTTTCGATCGGCCTCGTTCCCGATGACAGAATCCTCATTTGTGGAAGCAATCATTCACAGGTGTTTTTTTCTACAACTTCAAGTCATGGAATAGTAGTTGAGTGACAGTGATCATAGTATACCTTTTTTGGTATGTTCGTCTTTAAAACAAAGAACAATCAATACATCGATCAGTAGGATCGTTTTGCTAGAATACACACTAATTAGCGCTATCGCTGACTCTTGTCGTCGTGATTCACTTGGAATCTAGCATCCTGCTTACGGTTGAGTGCTAACGACCTGCATTATTTCCTTGTTTGACCTGCTACTTAATCGCTTCAATTTATGAAAAACTAAACACTTCTTGAGGTAATAGATCTTTACTATTGCATTATTACATGAACTGACGTAGCAAGCATCGCACTTTGCGGGTCACAGCACTTTTCGCATTCGAATCGCTTCTTCGCATTACCCATCCACGACAATCTTCGAATTTTTTTGCCTATGACTTCTGCTACTGGGTTTTCTCGATTTTATTGGAAGTGTCGTTGAATGCTGATCAAGTCGTTACTCGCTAATACTCGTGCCGGAGCGTTTCCGCGTGGATATGAGAAAGCCAACTGATCCTAATCTAGCTTAATACCAATATTCCTACCTCTGTGGGATGAGAGGTTTGATTGTACAGAGCTGGTGTTGAACCAAGGCCTGGGTGTTTTGTGCGGTCCGCGTAGTGGACAAAAACACTACCACTGCGCCATCCGCTCTTTGTTTATTGCCTCTTCCTCCATTATTTTTATTTATTTATTTATTTATTGTGTATTTATTACAAGCATGCTGCTATATATACAATAACGGATCGTAATGAAGAAATATCTACATTTTTGTTTCTTTGCGACGTTTTTTGAGGTTGCTAATTCATACTTATTTATTGTTGGTTGCTAAATAAAAATACAAAGATAAAGCTTTTGGAACTGATCTATCCCTAAGGGATGCACAATGAATCCGACTTCGTTAAGCATCGTTGGAGGTGACTGAATGCATATCTGGCCTTTACAATGACTCGCGGTAGTCTACCGATCTATCCAGCCAGTGCTGCTATCCTCTCGGACAAGTGTGGTAGAAATTTGCCGACCCCAGAGAGATGGAAGGCTTAGTGGGCCAGGAGCGCGGCGATCGACCTCATGTGTATTGCACTATACATCCGACCACTGCTTTACACGCGCCCGCTTTTTCGTTGATAGCTGAGTTTTTCCTTTCCTACGTTTCTCAACATCTTTATCATTGTTCATGGCTATTAACATTTACTTATACGTAAATTGCAACCACCCTATGTGTTTAAAAAATATCACTATTGCTTTTCCGTAAAGCTTAGGGGGATTGACCCTGCTGACGGATGATTGCTGAAAGTAGTAGTAGGTAGAGAGCTATCTGAGAGAAACTGGTAAGCCGGGCCCTCAGTGATTTAGTGTTTAGCGCAGGCCCTCGGAAAGGGTAATCTTGGTTCGATTTGGCCCAGGATCCAAGTTTTGCGAATATCTCAACATCGTTGTGGTTGCATTTCATGTTATACTCTGCCCTGAAAAACTGCAGTAGGCAGCAAACAAAAGGTTGAGACTATTGTTTTTATCATTCCTGCAGGAATTACACATATCAGAAATATTTATAATACACCCACGATTGCGTACTTATGCATGTAAGCATGCATCAAAATAACTGGTTTATTCGATTATACCCTAATTGATTTTTATTTGGCCGACTGAAAAGTTGTCCCATGAAGAGAGCGGGGGAAAAGAAGTGAAAGTATCGATTACTACGGTGTGATATTGAGGTGTTTCTGAGTGCATTCGCCGCGTCTCGAGCTGGTCTGGTGTTCTCTTTGGCGAATCCGAATTTCCACGATGAAGAGGCTTTCTGTCACGCGCTGAAGCTGGTAAGTGATCTTAGCCATACGATTTTCTAAGCGGATGAAATTATCCCTCGATAAATTGATAAGTTAAGTAAACTTCAGCTAGGTGAAAATTCTCTTTATGGTTGTATTGACCTGCATGGTGTGGTGGCGAACGCGTTAGCCTTCGGAAAGGGTAATAGCGCGTTCTTTCCCCACGCAGACGCCTGGGGTCGAGAGTTTTGCAAATATCACAGCATCTCTATACGGTTATTATCAATATTTTTGCTAGTAGAGATTATTCTTCTATTGAAATTTGGATGTAGAAAAACACAGTGTGTGTTTTTAGAAATGCTTCATTTTAGGGCAATCGAAATTATTTCTACACTATTCAAATATTCAGAAGTCAAAAAAATCGGAAAGTTTTTGAAGTCGAAAGCACTCCACGATCTTGTCGTCGTTTGATATGCCTACGAGCTATAGTTATGTCAGACTACAGTAATTTCCCAGTTTTCGAAGCGTTTTATTGAATTTGACCTCCGAGCAGGGCTCTAAGCAACCATTTCTTTGCTATTATTTGACGAGATTTGTAATACTGTACAACTTCAATATTTGGCCTTCATAATTTCCTTACTAGTTCTGATTTTCAATAGTGTTGGCTTTCTAAGAATTGAAGTGGACTTGAAAGCTCAGCAACAACATGGACGACTCTCATAGGATTGCATATTATGAGTTCCTTCTCACACTGAGGAGCACCACTGATGACTCGCACCGCAGTGAACGTTCCAGTGGTTTTCACTTATTCGTCATCCCTTACTTTATTGCCAAAAAAGATCCGTGTCGATTTAGCTGGTTGAAAGCGGAACTAGGGAAGGGTCTAATTATTCCTCACACAACAGGAAACGATTGGTCGTTTCTTTCTCTGGGAAACCATCACCCATTTAGTGCTAACTTTCAATCATTACCTTTAGTAGAGCTCATGCATATAGTGTTCGGTGAAAAAACATAGCATCCTAATTCCGGAAAGACATTTATGCATCCTACTTGTTTCAGTACGAGCCATATCGATGAAGAAGCGTCGATGACCCGCTATGTTTTTTAACTAGCTAATATGTTAGTGGTTTAGCATTCTTTTCTCTTCGATGCTGCGAAATACATATGAAAATGTTCTGCTTTCGGATTGTCACTACTGAAAATCATCTGCTTTTCTGGACCGACGGAGGCCCATCACTATGCAACATTCGAAATTCCTTTCACCAAGAGGATGATTCCTGGCAAAGATTTATTACTAACCGTGTCATCAACATTGCGCTTAGAATAAAGAACAGGAATGAATTATTGTCATGGTAAAGATGAGATGCCCCGTTTGCCATTCTGATGACTGATAACGAAACCGAAAGGAACTTTTCTTAGCGAAGATGATGTACACCGTGATTGTTTTCTATTTGCACTGTTTCATACAGGTAAAACATTCTCTGGAGATTTCCTCTTATTTTTGCAATTTCCAACTACGAACTTATCATTTTTTTCAAAAGTTCCATTAGACATTTCAAATTTTCTAACCGAATGTGTTTCAAATTCTCTCCTTGTCCATTTTAGGGCAATTTCCGTGCGGTGGTTTGCTTTCGAGCGCCTGAAGCCCATGATTATCTCCATAGCCTGCTCGTGCGTATCTGCCCTGAGCTGATAGGAAGTCACAGAGGTTCATTGTTTACTTCTCCAACATTTTGAAAACTGAAGAGAGGAGATGGAACACCGAACTGACTATAAAACTTCATGTAAGAGGAAGAAAAAAAGCAGAAAAAAATAAAATTTCAAGCTCTGTTATAGTTATGACTCAAATAGACGATTCTCGCATTCAGCCACGTACAACTTGCTATGGCTTCCGCAGCTAAGCCTAGTACTTGGGTAATTAAAGGTTTTGTAAATGCAGCAATAACAAAAACAAAAACTGGTGTGACGACAGAGATAGACTAAATAAGGAGTATCACAGTGCATTGAGAACAGCTGAGGATTAGAAAATAACTTGAACATAGTTGTTGTGGCACCAACATTGAAATTAGATGAGTTTATATTAATCAAGAGAGGGTTGCGCGGAAATATTATGGGCAGTAAACAAAATTACTTCAGAGGCTGAGGGGGACTTCTAATCATGAAGGTCTCTCCTAACCTTTTTCTACGAGAATCCAGGTGTTAACATAGAAAGCGCTTCCCAGCCGCCTGCGAATCAGAGACGTGTTAAACTGTTGGCGAGCACTTCCCATTTAATGCGAGAAAAATATTTTTTTCCTACGTTATATGAGAGTGGAAAATTATATGAGAATGATCCACGTTGAACATTATACAGCTAACGTAAGAAACATGTGATGAGGTAGAGAGTATTCTCTACATGGTAGAGAATGCTCCATATTTCAGTGAAAAAACCAAGGTCGATGATTGCAATGACTTTAAATAACGTAAACCCAAAAATAAAAAAAGTTTCATGGAAAACGACAAGCCTACCGCTGTCCTGGGGTAGAAAGGTTTCTACGACAGTTTAATCATGCATGGGCTTGGTTATATCGGCCAACTATTATCTTTAAGGTGAACTAAAGAGTGCCGCGCTTCCGAACCTCAGCCATATCATTCTTGCCGAAGAGGAACATCGTCACGGGTTGGTTTTTTTTCAAGTTTTTTTGAGTGCTTAAACACTGAAAAAAAGAGTGTAACGAAACAATCACTATAAAGTGGAAGAGTTTGATACCCTTGAGAACTTGTTACACCAAAGCACACAGTAAATTTTATTGTAGGGGTCAGACATGCCCTAAATCACCTATACGGTACTTAATGAAGTCGTATGCATGACGTATCACTTTATGCTTTAACCTTTATATTTGCTATCTAAAAAAAGGAAAGTGATTTCAGTGGTTGCTATACTCTGTCCGAGGTTTTCGGCCGATCTTCAAAAGAAAAAATCGGAAAATTGCCAAACTACCAGAATTGGAGCAGCCACAAACTCGCCTGCCTACAATTCACAATGGTAATACTTCTAACACTAGTCCTTTTTCTTCTAAATTTCACTCTCCATTCGTTTTCCACTTTTTGCCTTGTTTTATTTAACTTTTATTTTCAATTGTCACGTTAAGTTGACTTGAGGGCACTACCGCTGAGCCGAAACTGGTCGCTATTTCGCATTTTCAACTACTTAATGGTGCTCGAGCTGTGGTGACATCGTTCGGTATTAAAAAGGATGCGAGTTTTATTCATTTGTTTGTTCATTTGAAACTACGTACAAAACGGTTGATGGCACTGTTAAGTAGAAAACTATCTGAGAGGAAAGCGAAACGAAGGGTTCGCACAATGTGGTCGCGAACACGTTAGACCTCGGGAAAGGTTATAACAGGTTTTATCCCCAACACAGACACCTGCGGTCTGGAGTTTTGCAAATATTTTAGCATCATTGTGGTTGCCTGCAGTGAAAAATTGTAGTAGGCAGTAAATAAAAGTGTTAAAGATCTTTTCTTTTTTCGAAATTAATTGAGTAAATCTTTGTGGGCAACCACCGGTGTTTCCATGACGAAGCTTAGCTAACAGTAAACCAATAACAGGATCCACCACCATCCTGGTATCAAAGTCGCATGGTGCAAAATCTCCCTCCGATCCACAAGGGCTGCGACTGCCTGTGGTGGTGAAGACCTGGCGCAGACTTCGGCCAGGCTGACCTCGGGATTCCAGGAAACCACAATGTCTCAACCAGCAAATCTCCGGTAAATTGAGATTGTGCTGGGACATATTGTGCAAGTGAGGACGGGCCATTCAAGTGTCAAGTAATTTTTATGGGGATGGTTTATAACACAATGTAATGAAGATCCGTCCACTGGTATGCAGCGGTTGGTCGCACGCTTTGACCTCGTTTCTACAACGACTGATGCCAACTGTTCTGCTTTCTGGGGTAAAAAAAGTGGTGAAGAATTACATAGTCAGTCTTTAAAAAAATCCTCAAAATTCTCTTCAACATTGTGACACACTGCTGCCTTCGGTTAACGCTTACCCGTGTCAGACGCTTTTGGATGCTTCGCACAGCCGATCTACTAGCCAAGTCATGCTCCCTCAAATGGGCAGCCTCCGTTGAATGTGTACGAATGTTTTTTGAAACCGTATAGTGAAACACTTTTGCTACTCGTTTTTTGCCTTGCCACCCTCATTTCAAAGAGGTGGTTTAGTTAAGGTGTAGATTGGGCTACAACTTAAGAACCTCTTCCCTTCAGTCCTCGTCGACGTGTTGAAAGATGATCGAGCGTGAATTTCAATGGAAAGGTGCTAGTTGTGCAAACACATTCTCAGGTCATCCCTGAAGACAGTTAGTCTTTGGAAAGTTTACTGCTTTGAAACTCGGATTCCTTCAAGACAACAACTATTCCTATGATTGCAACCAGTTCTGTGTTGAGTTAGGCAATCGCTCAATGGTTATATAACAGACTGATTCAATTTTAGCAAGCAATATTAAGTAAACTGTGCACATAGAGATAAAAGTAGGAGTATCGTAGAGTGTGAGTGAATACATGTTTGTTCTACAAAATGGCATGTAGTGATGAGTTAAGTCTGTGATTTATTCCTCAGACAGGTCTGGTAGCAATATTCGGACCTCCGAGAGATAAAGGCCTAGCCTAGTTCGGGCGGATTCGAACCAAGAATCGCGTGTCTACTGTATGGCGCTTCAACCACTTCATTGTGTGCTGAAAATAAATGTATCAAAACAAATGTAATAAAATAGCAGTGAAAACTGCGCGAATTAATAGCTACCTAGATATTTGGTTTTTTTTGCTTCACGGAGAAAGAAGGTGCAGATTTCTTGCAGCAATCCCTAGCTTGCGCTCTTCCATTGTTTCGCTTGCCGATTTTCGCTCTTGTATGTCTCTCGCCGTTCCTCACCGATTCACGTACCGTCTTTCCCGAACCACAACCACTGCCGAGAAATCTTTTCGCCTCTGTGAAGAAGTACAGGTGAGTTAAATTTCGCGTTCAAAGAGTGCAACAGAACTGTTCTAAGAAAAAACGGCAGACCGTTTTTCCTTTTTCTTCCACTTACCACATTACGTACAATTCTTCGAACCCCGTTTACTACGACAAGACACAAATGTGCCATTCCACGCGTTCTACTCAGCACCGCTGTCGAAATTTCAGTCTTACTAATCCTGCATTTCCTCCCAACGGTTTACCGCCTCATCTTAGCTAGGAGGTGATCCTGGGTGTTGGGCTGCGATTTACAGCAAGGAATTCATACCCGAGCAGGGTCTTCCATGTTGAGAAGAAGTCTGGCGTTTCCATCAGGAAGCACACCCAAGAGTAAATCAATACCAGAATCCGCCACCGTCTTGGTATCAAGCTAGTCGCATAGTGACAAATGTCTCTCTGATTCACAAGAGGCGGCGGCTGCCTGTGGTGGTGACGTGGCCGACCTCAGGACTCCTGGGGAACACAATGGCTAAACCATCAGAACTCGTGAAAAGTGGAGAATGGGTCAGCAGAATCAGTGAGGATGGGCCGTCCAAGCATCCGTGTATCCAAGTATTCCTGTATTCTAAGACATATCACATGCTTTGAGTTGCGTGTTACACTCTCCTTAATCATAAGGAATCTTCTGCAAGAAATGCCTGGCTTCTTCAAAGTTGACTACTACTAGCGAGCGAGTAGTTGAAAAATACTGCCCTAACTCATTCTTCGGCAGCATCGTAAAAGGGATTAGCTGCTTACTTTTTGTCTTAAAAAATATAAACACACTTGATTTATAGTTAGGTGGATTGCTCATCCTAATACGATGTGCCGACCCAACCCTTCTTTCATGTGGCATAATATCTTGCAAGAGCCATCAAGGTTCACGCGTGGGTTCTACGCGGTAATGAACATCTGTCATATTCTCTCAACAATAACTTTTTGAAGAGTAATTCAGAGTGTTCCTTCTTGAAATATGGTGAGAGCTGTGTTTGGCGTTTCCATCTCTTCAATACCAGAGAATTCAGGCCCACGTGAATTGGATAGAGGTGTTTTGAGCTTGCCACCGTCCAACTCAGCGGCGATTCCTGTGGGCAGTAAACCGATCGCTTGTGTACTATCTAAGAGAGTGAATTCTAGTGTGAATATTATGAGTATTGTGCATAAAGTTATGAATATTAGTTTAAGTAACTCTAAAAACCGATTTTGCTTTAACTTTATCATGGATAATCGGGGTTTTCTTATATGATGAAGGTAACATGAAGTTGTTATGAACCTTTAATTCGGCTTGTGTTTTGGCTTCTTTGCCTTCTTCAGAGCAATGTTGACCTTCATTTGCCGCATCCAGTCGATACCTCTGGGATTGGAGTACCGAAACGAAAACTCGCATTGCGACGAGAACCGTCCAGGAACAGTCGATTCAGGTCATCGTGGTTCTGAAAAAGGCGGAGGTGTGGAAACGTTGTAAAGCGAATAAAAGTTCTATAACAACCTTGTGCTAGCTTAGCTATCTAAGAAAATATTTCATAGTCCCTTCAAAACTACTTCGATAAGGTAAACAAAAACATTTTACCCATTTTACCCAAAACATTTAATTTTACATTTTTTAAAAACATTTTAAAACATTTTACATTTTATTTTATTTTACTTCACGCTCAGTTCTGTTGATGGAATACTTCCGATGAATTCTGAAAAAACAGTAGCTTGCAGTTGTTCGACACTACTGACGAATGGTGTGGCCTTACGTCTTCTGCTGAAAATCAGCGAAACACAGCGCGTCAAACTCGACAGCATCGAGCAGATCCTTTTGCTTGGTGATCGCGTCTCTAAAGAAGCTTTGCAGAGCATCCAAAAACAAGCCAATAACGTCAAAATCATCGCGGTAAGTGATCATTTCGTCAGCATCTTCCATTGTTTGCTGCAGTAGCTCAGATCTCTTGTGATAACCACATAATCTAATGCTTGTTACTCTCCAAGCAAACGAAACTCTTCATGTTTCATAGAATCTGAAGAACATAACTTCAAAGCAACAAAGAATTGTTTGCACAACTTAAATGCTAGTCTAGAAGCAATTATTTTGCAATGCTTTCGTTTTCTTCCAAAATCTTGCTATATTTTATTAAGGGGCGAACTTGGAGTCATGCCGGATCCTCAGCTAATCTTGACACTACATAGTCCTCGTGTAGACTTGATGATGTTTCAAATGAAACTGTTCAAAGCAAGGAAAACTAAATTTTAGGTCGGCTACATGCTCACTGAGACAGGATCGATTCCGATCATGGGAGACGCTACTACTGACTTCACAAGAATGGTAGGCAGAGCCATCGCCGGATACAAGGTATGATTGCTTTAGTCAGTCATTAGCAAACATCGTCATATTCACAACGATGGTGAGATATATACAAAACTCGGAGCCTCAGGTGAGCTTCGAACCCGCGATTACACGTTCCCGGATTCGCCTGCTATCTACCATAGCAACCGAGGCCCTTGTTTTTGCCGTATCTACAGAAATAGAACGTCAGAACTTGCAAAAGAATGCAGAAAGACGGTAAAAGAAGATCTTAAAGAGAGAAGAGCAGCAGTTATGGTCGTAGCTGCAGAGGCCGGGTAAAAGATTCGCAATGATCATCGAAACTTCGCCATTTAAAAAACCGAGATGACTGTACTCCGTCGCCCAGACGAAACATTTACGAACAGTTACACTATCCAGAAAGACATTGGAAAAAATAATTCGCGACTACGACTCGGATCTTTTTGATACCCACGTCCTCTTGCATTCGTATGAAAGAAAGGACGATGAATATGTCGTCCCATCAATTCTCCTTTCTAAATTACGACATGTTATTTTATTGGGAAGGAATCGAAGAAGTTGTGGACTAGGCAGAATAAAAGGTTTGATCACTAAGAAAACCTTTCGCCAGTCTTCATAAACACACAATTCGGTGCTTCACACGTTATCCGTCAGAGTGAAAGGTCCCTACTCAGTGGAAGACCAGCAAGACCCTGTTATTGTTCAAGAAAGATGACCTACACAATATCGGCAACTATCGCCCAATCTGCTTGCCGTCTGTCGTCTACAAACATTTCACTCGAGTCATCCTAAAGAGGATTAGCAGAACACTGGACAAAGGGCAGTCATTTGAGCAAGCAGGGTTTCGAAAAGGATTTAGTACAATGGACTACATCCACACGGTAAACCGGCCCATTGAAGTATCGCGAGAGTACAACAGACCGCTCTCTCTCATGTTCATCGATTTGACGAAATCCTTTGGCTCAGTTGAGATAGAAGCAGCCATGGAAGGCCTGGATAGCCAAGGCGTCCCTACTTGGTAAATAAAGATTCCTCGTGAGCTATTTATTGCATACGATGCTCGACGATGCTCTAAAGCGAGCAGAATCCAGTGGGCTACTTTCGCACGCGGCAGGGAAAAATGGAACGTGTACTGTTGCGCACTCGAGTTAATCGACGATCAGTAGGACGACGAGTGATACAAGTGATGCAAGCAGCAGTGGACTATCATTGTAATCAGGTGGATTTCTTAGATGTCGAAGAACCTTTCGATCAATGGGCAGGATGGCCGACAATACACACGTCGTCAGAGGGGCGACCCTGTGCCTCAAGGTAACAATGCTCGAATTCCTCCGAAGTCGAAAATTTGGTACTGTCTGGTCATTACTGAGACCAGATATGCATTCAATAACCTCTGCAAAGCTTGATGGAATTGAATGTATGTTGCGTCGCTGTATTGCTAAAGGATTGTTCAACGCCAAACGCTTTATTCTTTTATTTCCAGATAATGTGAGAATGCACTTTTGCACCTCGTGCGGTAGGTTTACAATACTGTTTTCCTGTGTTCTTTACAAAGGACAGGTATAGAGCAGTGGTTAAAGGCGCCCTGCAATACATTAAGGAACGATCGCATGTCCCAGGCCCAGTAAGGTTTCCATCCCTCCTGGGCCTGCAGATTGGTACCACACCTGTCTGGGGGGAATGCAGTACGTTTCGTTACATTGGTAGGCCACCTGTGGTTTATACATAGGCTAGTTCAATTACCTCTAGCGATGCTTAATGAAGTCGAGTGCATGGCGCATCCATCAGGGATTGATCAATGCCGTGAGGTTTATCCTTCTATCCCTTATGTTCTTTACAATCACACCTATAGAAAGACTTCTAAGTAACTATGGTCAAAAAAAGTTGTATTTGAGAGGCACTATCAATGCATAAAAAGTTTTGCACTATTTACAAAATAGCAAAAGGGAAACCGAGAAAGATTTATAAGTTCAAAATGTTTAACGTTTTGTTTTCTGCCTTCTATAATTTTCATGGCAGGTTACTAAGCGAAATACAACCACAACGTTGCTGAGATATTTGCAAAACTCTGGACCGCAGGTGTCTATGGTGGGGAACGAACGCGCTATTATCCTTTCCGGGGAGGAACGCTTAGTAACCTGCCATGAAAATTATAGAAGGCAGAAAA